GCTGGAAGTTGGAATTGATCATTTTGGTTATACTCAGCACCACTAAAGCCTGAAGATTTAGTACCTTTATGAAGCTTCTGAAGGATGCACCAAAAAATCCAATGGAGTAATGTGCACAGCATGGAGAAAACCACACAAAACCCACGGAATAATCTGCACAATATGGAGAAAACCAGACATAACCCATGGAATAATGTGTACAACATGGAGAAAAACAGGTTTGTGCCTACTCCACCTCTAAGGAAGTCTATGGATGTCTACAAGGAGATTAAACTAATATTCACACTCTAAGTCTCATCTCAAGGGTCAACTCTCCCAGATTTTGGTGCCACCTCCAAAAGTAAGTAACCAAACTCATCACTGGAGAACCAAAGGAAGCAAAGCAGCAAGAGGCTCCTCAGCAATCTGGCTCATTTCAGTGCTGCACATCCCCAGCTCTCCCAGTCTGGCTCCATGGCACAGGTACTCCAGAATCATGGAATGGTCTGGGTTGGAAGGGACCTGAGAGACCATTCAGTTCCAACCAGGCCCAGGGACACCTCCTGCCAGCCCAGTTTGCTCCAAGACCCACCCAACCTGTCCTGGAATACTTCCAGGGATGGGGCAGCCACAGCTTCTCTGGGCAACCTCCAGGGAACATCTCCTTGTGGGATGCTCTCCCAGAGAGCACACAGAGGTTGGTTTAAGGCTGCCACACATTGTCTAAGGAAAGGAGAGGCTCACTCAAACATTGCCTAGTTGAACCATTCCCACTGGGGAGCAGAAATTTAAATCTCTTCCTCCACATTCCCACTGGAGTTCATTATTCCAAGCCCCCACATCCATTACACTGAACAGCTTCTAAGCAAGACTGGCACAGTTGTGTCAAATATTTTATTAACCTTGACTACTAACCATCTCCCCAGAGATTTACAGCCCTGGAGGGACCCACACGAGCCAAGTCCTTTAGCAGAACTTTGTCTCCTCCACTGTGAAAATGCAGTGTCCCTCAGGGAGGGCTGAGAGGTGACGTGGCCAAAAAATGGGTTATTTTGGGGAATAAATAAGAGAGATGGTGTGTGAGCAAGCACTGTGCTTGAACAAAGCCCTCCAGCTAAGCTGGGAAACCTTGTGATGGACTGCAGAGTGTGGTGTGTGCATCCCTTGTGTCCCAGCAAAGAGAAATCAATATCATGGAAAACTAGAATAGGGCTTTGGGGGAACTGCCAACTGCTCAGCATCCTCCCCCCGCCCTGTAGATGAGATGTGTTGCTACAGGAAAGCAAAACAAAAGCTGAAAGCATCAGGGGCAGCTGATTTCTGCTTTAAAAAGAGAGGGAAGGAAAAGGGCACGGAAATCCACATAATTGCCTCCTTTGTCCTTCCAGAGGTAAAAAAACCCAAGGAGAAATGTCAGATGCTTTGGCTCAAACCTCTTGATGAAATAAAGCATGGCCCATCCTAAAAATTTCATACACTTTCATTTAACTTCTGAGCTATGTTTCTACTCACTTAGGTCAAATATAAACAAACCCAACCAAAGAGAACATGCATAATCTTACTAAATAGCTTACATGGCAAACAAAACTTTTTCCCCCTCTTTCAACTTGCTAAAACTAACAATTTCATACATACTAACATTCACACTAACGATTTCCTCCTCCCTCTGAGGAGTTTTCCCTGAAGCACAGTGGGGACCTACATGATGCAGTGATTGGGGGATCATTCCTTCCAGGACAAGCAAAGAACTAACTTCAGGTTTCAAACACACCCAAGAAAAACAATTTTCAACTTGTGTCCTAATTTTTAATTGCAAAGCCTTTGCCCACATGTGAGTGACTTAAGGACAGTCCCACCAGAAGGAACTGAGTGTACAAAGAACCCTGAGCTTTCTCCAATGGCTTTTCACAACATACACACTAACTTTATACTCCAGACTGAGTTCATTATAACCCAAAATAAACAAAGTCTCTACCTAGAAGCCAAAATTCATTGAAATTATCCTCTCAAGCTGCTAATGCTGATGCAGCAAAGCACTGCAGGAGCTGCAGCAGCCTCACACACACAGGATCCTGCTTCCATCTGCTCACCAGGATATATTTTCCCTCCCAATAGCCATGGAAACAATTTCTAATCAATAAGAGATTCCTTGGCAAGACTAAATGATTCAAGGGAAAGCCATGACCTGTCTGCTATGCCAATGAGTCAGTCCCTTCTCTTCCTAGAAATATAACTGACATCAGCAGATATGACAAAATGATGTACTGACAGCACTGACACAGCAGTGATGGAGCTGCAGGACACAGGGATGCAACTTTCCCCTGTAGCCCAGGCACCAGAGGAACTCATGGCTAATGCTATTGAGGGGCTTGGGACAAGGGATGGAGGGACAGGACACAGGGAATGGCTTCCCACTGCCAGAGGGCAGGGACAGATGGAGTATTGGGAAGGAACTGTTCCTTGTGAGGGTGCTGAGGGGTTGGCACAGGTTGCCCAGAGCAGCTGTGGCTGCTCCATCCCTGGGAGTGTTCCAGGCCAGGTTGGATGGGGCTTGGAGCAACCTGGGCTGGTGGGAGGTGTCCCTGCCCAGGGCAGGGGGTGGAATGAGATGAGATTTAAGGTCCTTTCTAATCCAAACCACTCTACGAATGACAAAACCCCAGATCTGCTGTAG